GCACACGTAGTATAAGCCCATGTGACATTACATTGCAGACCAGTTATTGCTTTGAAATGGTCTTTAAGGGCAGCACCATATACTGTAAAGGGCAATTCAGTAATTGAGATGGGAACTCACTAAATGTACAGAATGCTGTAAAATCAGGGCATACTGAAAATGAAATGATGACACTTCAAAATAATAATGTTTCTATGAATTGTTTCTTTTTCAGACTTAGATGATTGTTTCCCATGTCCAGAGGATCAATATCCAAACAAGGATCAGGACATTTGCCTTAAAAATGTACAATTTACTTAACTTATCAAGAATCTTTGGGGATTTTTTTTTGGAAGTGATTGCAGTCTCCTTTTCTCTCATCTCAGCTCTGGTGCTGTGGATCTTCATTAAACATCAGAATACACCTATCGTTAAAGCCCAATAACAGGAACCTCACCTATAGCCTTCTCACTGCTCTCCTGCTCTCTTTCCTTTGCACTTTGCTCTTCATTGGGCAACCTGACCAAGTGAAATGTCTTTTGCGACAAACTGCTTTTGGCATCCTCTTCTCTGTAGCCCTTTCTTGTGTATTGGGAAAAACAATCATAGTGGTCCTTGCTTTCATGGCCACCAAGCCTGGCTCCAAAATAAGGAAATGGGTGGGGAAAAGGCTGGCCACCAACATTGTCCTATCCTGCTTACTGACTCAATTCATCCTTTGTATAGTGTAGTTGGCAATTTCTCCCCCCTTCCCAGATTCTGACATGCACTCCGTGGCAGAAGAAATTGTTCTGCAATGTAATGAAAGTTCAACAGCAATGTTTTATACAGTCCTTGGCTTTTGGGGGTTCTTGACTGCTGTCAGTTTCATTGTGGCCTTCCTAGCTAGAAATTTGCTTGACACCTTTAAGGTGTCAGGCAAATTTAATGAGTGCCTTATTTGCCACTTCTCCCAATATTCTCCTTCATCATACAGGAAATGTCAAATTAACATCCCTTTCCACAATTCTGAAAGTTTGAGAGCCAATATTGAGCAGCAGGTAAGGTGCTAGTCCAGAAACAATGGAGCCAACTCTTCTTTCTCTCCTTTAGTCATGAAAGCCTGGGAGATACGTTGTTCTGGAAACTGGGGAGACATGTTTGAAGTTGGTGATGTTGCATTGGAGATTAGTGCATTGATTATTCTTGCTTTAGTTTGATGGTGAAATCAATAATTGTAGACATCCCATTCATTGTTGTGTTCATCTGGGTGTATCCTTGCATTGTTGTTATCATAGTCAGCCACTCAGCCATGTCTGACCCTTGGCTACTCTATGGATCAGCACTGCTCAATAAATAAATAAATGAACAAGAATAAAGTTTTTGATTCATTTGTTGAACTGGGTTCTCTTTATCTATTTTTAGGGTTTGTGTGTAAAACATACTACACTTTAATCATTGATTTAGGCAGATGAGTGATGTAGAGCTAGGGAATACACAGGGCCTCATCAATCTGCCATGGAATAGTCATAGCTGGTGTGCCATGTAGGGTATCACACAGTGGTGGGTTGCTCCTGGTTCTGCCTGGTTCCTTAGAACCGGTAGTAAAAGTGGAAGGAGGCTCCGCCCACCCACCTGGACATCATAATTGATGATCTGCGCATGCACAGAAGCACGTGCGTGTGAGCGAAGCGAGCAAGCGCACTCCCATTGCGAACTGGTAGTAAAGGTAAGTACAACTCACCCCTTGTACCACAAATGTTCTGCTGATTACTGTAAGATCTTGAGATCCAGAGACAGCGGAAGGAACATTCTGAAGATGTCCATCAGTTAGCTGGGGAAGTATAACTCCACCATAACAGTGTCAACTCACATTCCAAAGCTCCATTTCCAATTGAATTTATCTTCTACATTCCAGGATGATGTCCTTCTAGGGCTTGAATAAATATTACAATGGAGATTCTGCGTATGTATGTATGTATGTATGTATGTATGTATGTATGTATGTATATTTCATTCTTCTTCACTCCCTCAGAGAAGCGTTCTCGGTGGTATACAATTTAATAAATTAAATTAAGCATTAAAAACAGAATAGCAAGTTTTTTTAAAAAAGCAAGTATTAAAAGAAGTATTATGTATGAAGCAAAATTGGGGGGCCAAATGACCCAAATGGCCAATTTTTCCCCTTCTAGTGGTGTTTTCTTTGTTTTCTTCTGTGCATATGAACTCTTACTCCCCCCCTTTTTTTACTTCATTCCTTACTTCCAAAAGTTCATAACCATGCAGCAAGGACTGCAATACGATAAACATGTTTCCTTCTGATATTTTTCAAAGTGCTGCTGCAAAGAATAATACTGATTACTGATTAAGGATAGTTATTGCTCCTTCTTCTCCAAATCTTAAGGGAATTCCAGCAGCCACTGTAAAAATGATCACCCCGGATTAAGACATTGCATTTTATTAATATCTGCTTAGAAATAAAGACATGAATGTAGGGAGAAAAAGGATTTGTGTTTCATCTCTGATATTTCATTAGAAGACCTTCAAAGTCCCTTCTAGCTCTGTTACTCTGTTAACTTTAGATAAAGTTCATTATCTTAACTTTAGATACAGTTAATGAGTTAGCTGAATGGTAAGAAAGGAGATAATGTTTGATGTCTACAATGACTACATATTACAATGAATTTGTTATATTCAGAACATTAGTTTTACTTTTTTCCCCAACTATGATGAGCATATCTCCTCCCTACACCTGCAAACTTAGTAGTCCTCTTCCAATTGTTCATAAATATTATCAGTCTGGAGATTTAATCATTGCTGCTATTATTTATCAGGTTTTTTTTCTAACAAATGAGGTCACTTTTCGAAGCCTTCCTTCTTCTGAAATCCTTGATCAGTACCTGTAAGTGTCAGACTACTTCTCCCCCTCCGCATACCACAACCTCCACTTCCCCCATATTGCTACCTAAAAGCTGTATTTTTTTTCACTTTTATGCTTAAAGGTATTGGTTGCTAGTCAGTTGTTATGACCTGTTCTTGTGACCGTACTTAGTCCTTTTTTAATTCTAGATCTTACAAAGACTTAATCTGTCCTAATACCAATATTGAAATTGAGATGAATATTATTAGTTTTATTCATAAAGTATATGAATTTCATTCTTCTCAATCAATTTCCTTGTTTTAACAAAGTCCCTTGTTGAAAGTGAAAACGTTTTCCTAATCTAAATGTTGCAGAAGCTCTCTGGTTAATCTTGAGCTTTTTCTGCCTTTCATTTCATCCAGATATAAAATAGAAACCCTCTAGGGCATATTTTAGGCTATTATAAATCTAGGGTGTGAAAAGAGAACTGGCTTCCTTCTCTCAGAAAATACAGATAAGATAGAGATAATATTGACATCAGATAAGAGATGTAGAAAACTGATGGCAAAAATGTTTTGTCTGGTGATGGACATGTATTTATTCCCAGCAAGTTTAAACTCAGTTACTGTTGATTGATCCACTACCAAGTTGGCTATGGTCCCACTACTCTTTTTGTGAAGTAACACTATCTAAAATTAATTTTGAACTTCCTTCCTGTCACTGTGAGATTATACACCCATGTTCTTATGTTGTAATTAAAATTGAGAATACTGCTTCCAGAACCTTATTCACATTCTTTAATTCATTTAAAGGTTTCAGTCATGTACAGGGCCGGATTTAGATGAAAAGAGGCCCTAGGCTATTCCACTTATGAGGCCCTTTCACCTATAGTGAAAGTGTAATTTTAATTTTGCTAACAATTTGAATGTAGGCCCCTCCTGATCTTGAGGCCCTAGGCTGAAGCCTAGTTAGCCTATAGGAAAATCCGGCCCTGGTCATGTACCCCCTTTCCTTTTCCCCTCTAGGCTGAATATATTCATTTCCTCTAATATTTCCTGATACATTTTCTCTCTGCTCTTGTAGCCTTTTTGTTGCCCATCTCTGGACTCACTCAATCTTATTGATACATTTTCTTAAGTGAGTTTATTTATTTATTTAATGGGACTTGTATGCCGCCCTATCTCCACAGGTCTCAGGGCGGCTCACAACGATTAAAACAGAACAAACAAACCATTAAAACAGAAGTTCTCCAGAACTGAACACAGTATTTCAAACATGGTCTGACTAAATGTTACCTTAGCTCAATCTTAAGTAGCCACAACTAAGTCAGTGTTTCCTACTGGATACAATCTAGGTCTATTTGTTAGTGACCAAATTGCAGATGTCCAGAAGAAACAATAAGCACTAAGTTATTATATCTTTATGAATGTATAATTTATGTGTATAAATTAAGCAAATGTATAAATTAAAACAGCTGTCCAATTCTGAAACAGAAGTATATTGACAGTTTCTAACTCTTGCTGAAGGTTCGTCACTCAAAATTACCAGCACACTTTGGCTCTGGCATTTGCTGTAAAGGAGATTAATGAACATTCTGGGATTTTACCCAACGTTAGCCTTGGTTTCCATATTGCTACTGACTATCCTGTGGAAAGTACAACTTATCACTTAGCAATGGAATTTCTATCTATAAAGAATAAGTTTATACCCAACTACAAATACAATGACAAGACCAACACAGTAGTTGTCATTGGAGGAGCCCGAAGTAACACCTGTCACAACATGGCAATCACTCTGTGCAACTACAAATTTCCCCAGGTGAGACACAAAAATGGATCAATATGAGAAGTTCATCAGCTATTTATTACATTGAAAAGCTGAGTAATTGAAATGAAATATTTGATGCAAGACCATGATTACATTATAAGACATGAATATCTTGAAATGACTGTCCCTTTTTCCTTCTTGATCAAAATTGCAGATTTTTGAAAAAACATCCTATTTTGGTATCCCTCTCAAACACATAGATTATATTAAATAAACCCACATACTTTGCTTTTTATTGTTATTTTTTATTTTGGAAGAGATCCTTCATTCCTATGTTCTTCTGACTTTCTCCATTTAGATCACATATGGATCAGCTCCATTGGTGAATACTGAAACAGCAATGTTTGTCAAATGGATGTTCCCAGATGAAACTCATCAATTTAAAGCAATACTGCATTTATTGTTACATTTTAGATGGATCTGGGTTGGGTTGGTTTCTCTGTATGAGGAAGATAGGGACAAGTTCATTCAAAAGAGACTTTCCATGTTTTCAGAGAAAGGAATCTGCTTTGACTTTATAGAATGTTTTCCCCAAATGATGTATGGTAGTCAAGCTGGTGAAATGATGGAAAATGGAGAAAAATTATACAAAGTCATTATGGAAAGTACGGTCACTGCAGTCATCTTGAGTATTGAAATTACAGGCATGTTGTTTTTGAGAGTAATGATCAATGTTTTCAATGTTGATAATATTCCAAAGGAGAGAACAGCCAAAGTTTGGATCATGACAGCCCAGATGGAATTCACCTCCATTCTGATACAACGACAGTTCCACATTGATTTTCTCCATGGTGCACTTTCCTTTGCAATTCACTCAAAGGAGCTGACCGGATTCCAACAATTTATACAGAAGAGAAACCCAAACTTAGAGAAAAATGATGGGTTTATTAGGGATTTCTGGAAAGATGCATTTGAATGTTCCTTCTCCAGGGATATTACAGATGGGAACGCTGAAAGGATCTGCACTGGAGAAGAGAATCTGGAGACTCTTCCTAATTCTGTCTTTGAGACCACCATGAATGCACATAGTTACAGCATCTACAATGCAGTCTATGCTGTAGCACATGCTCTGAAGGCCATGCGCTCTTCCAAACTCAAAGGGGGTCGAAAAATTGATGAGAGGAGATGGAAGCTCTTCCTCCGATCACCTTGGCAAGTAATGTCGTGTAATGAAAAATTTGGGGAAAATTAAGAATAAGAATGTTTTGGTTTTTTATTTTGTTTTCTTTTAACTATTATAATGCATACATACATTGAAAGCTATATGGAAGTACTTGATACTTTCATATGAAATAAAATAAAATATAAATATAATTCTTAAATATAGAGACAGTTAGAAATATGTAACATGCCAACTTTCTTTTATGTCTAAAATAGTTATATTTGACAATTTTTAATGTAGAAACCTGAAAACTACTTTGCTACTGAATAGCATTATTATTCCTCACCAGCTGAATTTTGGAGTTATTAAGGTTCAAAAGTCGCAAAGGTGCTTTTTCAAAAGTGAACTAAACTTTGTTTTTCCTTGAAAGTGTTTTGCTTCAATTCAGAATTGAAGAAGCTTCTTGGATGAGAAGGAAAACATCTTCAAGGAAAAACAAAAAAGTTCAGTTGCCTTTTGAAAAAAAAGACCTTAGGGACAACCAATGCTTGAATGACAGAGAATCTCCTTAGACATTAAGATTCCAAGGGAATTATAATAATAAAAAAATAATAATAAATCTTCTGAAAATATGAATAGTACTACTTCAAGGGAATAGCAAATTTGTCAATAAAACACATGAAGAAAATTTCAAGTTTAATTTGTTCTTTTTTTTCAAAAGTAACAACTGGAATTCCCCATGTATGGAATTAAATTCTTGTCCTAGAATTGTCTATTTCACTGAATTATATCTTTCTTATACTTTATAGCACAAAATTGAATTCACAATTTGTGAAATGCTCAATCAAAGCAAAATGACTTCTCAGATCCACCCCTTTCTTGATTTTCTGTTCGAATTGTCATCTGACAATTTTTCATCTGAAAATAGAAAATGCATTTGATAAAAATTATTTTTTTCCTGGTTGAAATTGTGTGGAGTGATGCAAAATTGAACAGCTTGCTTTTCATTAAAATTGAAATTGAAAGAAACAGATTGAAATTTTCACATCTCCTTCAAAGAGTCCTGATAACTTTTCTGTTTCTTTCCTGTTTTTTTCTCCTTCCATTAGCTCCACTATTTTTTGCAACAAGTCTCCTTTAACAACAGTGCTGGAGAACAGGTTTCTTTTGGCCCGAATGGGGAATTAGAAACTGGATTTGATATTTTAAATTGGGCCACATTTCCAAACAAATCCTTTCTGAAAGTCCAAATTGGAAAGATTGACCCCCAGGCTCCCCCAGAAAAGCTAGTCATAATTTCTGCAAAGGAAGCTGTTTGGCCTCTTATGTTTAACCAGGTATGTCTCATTTTTTCCCTTTTCATGGCCTAATAATTTTGCTATGTTAAACTATCCAGTTTACAGCACTCCCTTTTTTATCAATCCTGTTCAACCATAATACAGATATTTATTTGATTTGACACCACAACAAAATGAGACCTCAAGGAGGGCATACTCAGAGGGATCCAGATTTAAATATTTTCCCAAATCAGCTTCTGGTATATTGCCCCAAACTGATTATTTGCCCCAATATAATTATTCAGAATGATTAATCAATCGGTTAATGTAATAGGTATGAAATAAGCAGTTAAAGATACAGTAGGGAGTTTACATCAGGAAAACTGCAAAATGCAACATGGATGTTTGGATTAAATAGGAAGAGTTTGTATGTGAAAAGAACAATCACACAAAAAAATTCTGTGTAAATTCTGGTTTTATTTATGAGCAGGCATTACCTCTTTCCATCTGTAACAAGGAATGTCCTCTTGGCCATAGTAAGATAAAAGTGGAAGGAAAATTATCCTGCTGCTATGACTGTAAACCATGTCCAGAAGGGAAGATAGCTGACCAATTGGGTAAGCAAAGAAGTCTTAGAGTTATGACTACAATTGATCTCAAAACATCTGTTGCGAAATGAGATGTTAGCTAAGTGAGTTTTGCTCTATTTTAAAACCTCTGTTGCCACCGCTGTTAAGGGAATCACTGCAGTTGTTAAATTTGTAACCGGTTGTTAAATGAACCTGGATTGATTTTGCTTGCCAGGAGGTCTCACAAAGTGATCACATGACACCGGGACACTGTAAATATAAAAAAAAAAGTCAGTTCTGAATTTTGACACGTGACTATAGGGATGCTGCAATGGTCATAAGTGTGAAAAACAGTCATAAGTCACTTTATTCAGAGCCTTTGTTATTTATTTATTTATTTATTTATTTATTTATTTATTTATTTATTTATTGGTTCAATTTATATGCCGCCCTTCTCCAGAGACTCAGGGCGGCTTACAATGCAAGGCTATTAAGCAATAGCTTTCATACTTTTGTATATACTTGCTTTCGGCCCCCCCAAACGGTGTTCTTTTTTTTATATAAAGCCAGTTTATTGCCCTCACAATCCGTGTCCTCATTTTACCTACCTTGAAAGGATGGAAGGCTGAGTCAAACTTGAGCCTGGTGAGATTTGAACTTGCAGTAATCGCAGGTAGCTGGTGCTACTTAACAGCACTTTAATCTGCTGCGCCACCAAGGCTCTTGTAATGTCCAACAGTTACTAAATGAATTGCTGAAAGTCATATATTAAATGTATCAATGATACAATAAACATAAATGGGGGCTGAGCTTGATAACGTATTGATATTGACACCAATGAAACATTTGAAATTCTTTTCATATTTCAATGAGCTACTTAATGAAAAAACCAATCACTTCATTCTGACTTGGAGTGTCGGTAGATATCTCAGATTTGAATTATTCCTTGTTATGTTTTACTCAAAAATTAAAAACAGTTTTTTTCCAGAAACCTTTGTTCCTTATTTTTGGAAGTAGAGGTAATTTTGCATTTATATAGAATTCTGTTTAAAATAGAAGCATACTGAAAGTGAAATGATGAGATAATGTTTCTATGAATGGTTTCTTTTTCAGACTTGGATGACTGTTTTCCTTGTCCAGAGGATCAATATCCAAACAAGGATAAGAATAATTGCCTTCTAAAACATATAATATATTTAACTTATCAAGAACCTTTGGGGATTTCTTTGGCAGTGATTGCAGTCTCCTTTTCTGTCATCTCAGCTGTGGTCCTCGGGATATTCCTTAAACATCAGGACACACCTATTGTGAAAGCCAATAATAGGAACCTCACTTACAGCCTTCTTGTTGCTCTCCTGCTCTCTTTCCTTTGCAGTTTGCTCTTCATTGGGCAACCTGACCAAGTGAAATGTCTCTTGAGACAAACTGCTTTTGGCATCATCTTCTCTGTAGCTCTTTCTTGTATATTGGGGAAAACAATCATAGTGGTCCTTGCTTTCATGGCCACCAAGCCTGGATCCAAAATGAGAAAATGGGTGGGGAACAGGTTGGCTATCTCTATTGTCCTATCTTGCTCCCTGACACAATTCTGCATTTGTGTGGTGTGGCTCACTATTTCTCCACCCTTCCCAGATTCTGACATGCACTCCATGGCTGAAGAAATTGTTCTACAATGCAATGAAGGTTCAACCACTATGTTTTATACAGTGCTTGGCTTTCTGGGGTTCTTGACTGCTTTCAGTTTCACTGTGGCCTTCCTAGCCAGGAATTTGCCTGATACCTTTAATGAAGCCAAATTTATTACCTTCAGCATGTTGGTCTTTTGCAGTGTCTGGGTGTCATTTATTCCCACCTATTTGAGTACCAAGGGAAAATACATGGTGGCTGTAGAGATCTTCTCCATTTTGGCTTCAGCAGCTGGATTACTGCTCTGCATATTTTCCCCCAAATGCTTTATCATTGTTCTGAGACCTAATCTGAATAAGAAGGAGCAACTAATGAAAAAATGAAACTGATTTTGACACCATATCCTTATGAAACCTTATTGGTTGCTTTCAGCATTTAGATTTTTTTTTTCCTTTTCAATCTGAAGTTTAGCCTTCTTCCTTCTATCACCATATCAATGACCTACAAAGCAATAATTCTGACAAATTCACTTCAGAACCTAGAAAAGTTCCCTTAATCGATTTTTAATGCTAGATAATTATTCTGAGCCCTAATCAGAATAGTAAGCAATAGCTAATCAAGAAGAAGATATAATATGCATGATTTTAAAAATGAATTGATTTAAATCTTGCATCCCATGACCTTCACAACATCCCTATCAAAATAAAGAAAATGCCTAGTTTATATCACTCATAAAACTAAAAAGCCTCCCTGCTTTGTGTGAAGGCAAAGGTTTGTCATCTTTTTGGATGTTTTGAGATGCTGTTAATAAAAAATTAGGGATAACATACTGTAAGTGCCTTATTTGCCACTCAAAGCTTCTCAATATTCCCTCGAATCCTTTTTTTAAGGTACAGGAAAATCCAAGTTAACATCCTTTTCCACAGTGTTGAAAGTTTGAGAGTCACAGTAAGGTGTTGGGTCAAAAACAGGGGGACAATGTGTTTTTGTCTTCCTTTAGTTATAACAGCCTAAAAGAAATGTTGTTGTGGAACAGGGGAGATTTGTTTGAAGAAGATGGAATTGGAGAACTGCTTTTCAGTTTCCCTGAGAAACTACTCTTATTCATAATGACTACTGTACCACTTTTGTCTTCTTACTTAATTATGATGTCATTATTATTACTGTGCTTGGTTGAGATCTAATTCTGCCCTACTGAGAACATTGATTATTTTGGGTTAAGCTGGATGGTGAAGGCAATGATTGTAGACATCCAATTCATTTTTTCATTCATCTACGTGTGTTTTTTAAAAAATGTATTTGACATTGATGATCTGCAATGATATATTGTCCTGGCTTCACAATATTGGGGCCAGAGGGGGAAGGAGGATCCTGTGGAATCCTAACATTATGGTTATTATTATTTAGTCTATGATGAGAACATGAATAAGAGCAGTAAACATATACAGTAAAACCACATAATTATATACGATCTGGAACGAGCTCCCCCCGGAGATACGGAGGATCCCCGATCTGCGCACCTTCCATCGCACGCTCAAGATTTCTTTATTTCATCAAGCTGGCCTGGCCTTATTCTTTTCCCCTTTTAAATGTAAATTTTAATTTGTTTTTAAATTATTGGGTATTTTAAATTTGTCTCAGCCAAATTATTTAATTCGTTTTTATTCTATTTTAAATTTTTGTATTTATGTGTTTTATTCTGTGGCTGTTCACTGCCCTGAGTCCTTCGGGAGTAGGGCGGTATATAAATCCAATAAAAACAAACAAAACAAAACAATATACAAAACATATATCGGGTATCACAATGGCTTCGTAATTGTCCAATTCAGCTATCCATGCAATCAACTCTGATGTTGCTTTGTGCAGGTATTCTAGGAATTAGAAAATGCATGTTGTGGGTAATCTTACACAATATGTTTAATAGTTTGCCTTAAAGTTTGCAATACTTTACATCTTCTAGTACCACTCCTATTATGGTGAATAGATATCTATAGAATTTTGAACAGTTTGTTTTTACTGAAGGAGATGAGTTTTGCATTGTAGGTTCATTGTCTGCTCCTGGCAAAATCCTGATATAATTGAGATTCCAGGGACAGGATGGTGTAGACATTAATAATAGACAACCAGTGGTGGGTTTCTACCAGTTCGCACCAGTTCGGGCGAACCAGTAGCGGTAATTTGGCCTGGGTCACCAAACTGATAGCGACTACTGGCTGGCCATGCCCCCGAACTGGTCACCAGGTTGACACTGGCTCGACCACTCGCCTGCTCGCCCCACCTACACTCACTTGCCCCATCCCCCACTCGCCCCACCCCCCTCAGTCACTCCTCACTTCTACTGTGTGGGTTCTCACTTGCAGCTTGCCTATGTGAAGCGCTGCATCCCAACTGAGCAGACCTGATCTGCCTGCCAGTAACCCTGTGAATCGCAGCCTAGCTAGCTGCCCCTGCCCCCCAACATCCCAGCCTGCCTCCCCTACTCTCTTCCCCATGGCCCATGGCCCTACCATGATTCCCTGCCTTCAATGCGGCCTTCCCGTCAATCCCCATGGCCAGACCCGCTTGCGAAGGCCTCCCCTATTCCCTTCCCTGTGGCCCGGAGGCCCCAAAATGCATGTCTTCCTTCCACATGTCCTTCCTGGTGTCCCTGTGGCCACCTTGCAAGGGCAGGCAAGTGGACCTGGTCACGGGGACCGCCGGGAAGGCCATGTGGAAGGTAGGCAAGCATGTCGGGGCCGCCCGGCCATCGGGAAGGAAGCTAGCAGCCTACTCTCTTCCCTGTGGCCCTGCCATGCCTGGTGATTCCCCACACTTGTTTGCCTTTCGAGGTTGGGTCACACATCCAGCCCGTGATGAGAGATGTGCCGCTTCTAGCCAGGTCCGCCAGTGGGTGAGTGGCCAGCTTTTGGGGAGACACAATTGCTGCACTGGTGCTAAAAGGGGTGGTGGCGGCAGCAGCGGTGCTGCGGGAGGGCAGGTGGATGTCCTGGGGCTGCTGCACATGTGCACTGCATGTGAAGGGAGGCAGACATTGTGCCTCTGAGTAAAAGAGGAGATGGCAAAGCCCTTGCTGTCCCCCAGGAGGGGCCCACAGAGGGACACATCAGACACCCCTGAATAAACAAGGGATAGGCTAGCCCCTGAATACATGAGAAGTCTTGGGCAAAGCTCTTCCAAAGTTCAGCCAAGTCTTCTCCTCCTCCTCAGCCTTAACATGTGTGAGCAAACATGCACACATGAGATGTGAGCAAACATGCACACATGAAGTGTGTGTGACTGTGCATCTTTGCTCTGTGAAATGAGGCTGAGAAGGAGGTGAAGACTTGGCTGAACTTTGGAAGAACTTTGTCCAAGACTTCTTGTATATTCAGGGGCTAGCCTATACCTCTCCAAACGATGAATTTGGCGGTGATCTAAAGAAACATTGTCCAGCTCTTCAATATCAACTTTAAGAGTGCCGAGAAGCCAAGAGCAAAAGTAGCAGCAGTGGAGGCGACAGGGGTGTGTGTATCAATCCACAAGGAGTGTGAAGGGAGGCAGATACCATGCCTCTGAGGAAAAGAGGAGGTGCTGGCGATCAACTTTAAGAGTGCCGAGAAGCAAAAGCAGCGGCAGCAGGGTGACAGGGGCATGTGTGTGTGTGTTCCTCCACAAGGACTTGGAGGCAGACACTGCCTCTGCGGAAAAGAGGAGGCGGCGAAGCCCTGACTATCACTCAGGAGGGGACTGCAGAGGGACATATCTCACACCACTGTTGTCGTCACCGCCGCTACTTTTGGTCTACGCTTCTCAAGTGTGGTGTCTGCCTCCCTTCACACTCCTTGCACATGCCGAGAGCACCAAACTGGAGTGGGAAAGTGCACATGGGAGTGAGAGTGTGCGAAGATGGCCGCTATGGGGCGAGTGCCTTGGCTTCCCCTTTTACTCCTCACAGTCACTCTGAGCTGAGCCGGTGCGGTTCTTTATGTGAGCAGCCCCAATGACCACAGCAACAAGCAGTGCCACAACAAGGAGGTACAGTAAGATTTGGCGGTGCAGAAATTGTTCCATAAAAAATAGTGCATCTCTGAGGGGCTTCTAGCAAAAAAAACAAAAAAACCACTCCAAAACAAAACCTCAGCTTGCAGCAACAGTTTGGAGCTTGTTAAACGTTCCTCCACCCCAGCCATGCGTTTTCCAGTCTGGGCTGCTCGGCAGACAGACTCGGCAGGCAGGCTTTTATTTTGTCAGCCCAAGGGTGGGGAGGTATGTAGGAAATCGCCCTGTCTCTGCAGCATCGGTCATGTGACTGAGTGAGCGTGGCGATCTCAATGTCACTCACGACAAGGTGACGCTCCACCTCGCCGTGAGTGATGTCAAGTCGGCCACGCCTACTCAGTCACATGACCCCCCACTAAGACATGCCCACTAAGCCAAACCCACCAAGCCACACCCTCAGAACCAGTAGTAAAAAAAATTGAATTGCACCACTGTAGACAACCTATTAAGACAATTACAAGAATTGCATATTTAAACAAATACCAAACAAATACAACTAAAGATCAGTATGTGCAAAGGGAATCTTAGCAAACAGTAGGTAAATAGAGGAAAAAGACTTTTACAGAAGCTATTCCTCAGGAAAGAGAAGGCTGGGCATGAGAAAGCGATTCAGAATATCTTTTCCTCAATTTTGTTAGAAATAAGTTGATCTTTTGACAGATTTTCAAGATTTTTTTCCCATTCACTTCATTAAAAATAAAGGTCACTCCAAAAAACCAAAGGATTCCAATTTTTCAACTTGCCAATTTTGAAAGCTTGACAGAATGCAATAGTACGGCTGTATATATCATCATGTTCTCTGCTTCTCCAGAGAAGCTGAAGAACTTATCTCAACACAATGTTAGAATTCATCTCTTATCAGCCAGACAAGGTACAAGAGAAGTCAGCCAATCAATGCCTGGAACACATACAGTCCCCAACCTCAGGATATTTGTCAAATTTGGGGAGCCAAACTGACACATGGTACTCTCTCCTGAAAAAGAATGGGTCATCAATTTAAATGAGCCTTGCCCCCATGTTGCCAGTAGCTGCGCCTTGTCAGAAAAATTCTCCAGTATGGGTGAATCAATGTGCTTCTGGAACCTCAGCTTTTGAACCTCAATCCTTGGTTTATTCTAGTGCTCACTAACTCAGTTTCTGTCTAATCTCTGTCTGGGAAATTCTTTCTTTCCCATAACTGCTGCTGGAGTGTGGGTACATTGGGTCTCTGTCTGCCATTGCTTTTAAAAGTTCAAAAGACACTTTTTTATATGTATTTGTTGAGGTCTAATCTTTATCTACTTCCACCATGATCCACACTTGACATTTATCATTATGGCTAAACTAATTTTAAATTGCAGCAACAGACATGAAAAATTCTTAAACATATATCCCAAGAACCATTTCTTATATTAATCAGACAGTATTAGAAGAGGAAACAGCATCCCAACCTCAAAGATTATGGGAACTGCCAAGAATTCATGGCTTTCCTGAAATCCAAAAGGTTTGGGGCCAAAAAATCCACAGGCAATGTTCTTCCATACATGGAAGAAAATATTTGGAAAAGTCTATCCTTCACATCCTGACTCATG